GTTACATACAGGTGGGTGGATTTGTGTATCGCTTTACAAGGAGGTGTCATCTGCCCCAGCTTGTATTATATTTTCTGACTTTGTTGGACACATGTCAGTTTTGTTATCACTGTCCCAAAGCTGTGTATAGCATGATGTTATATAAACAAAATTTGGTACATACTGCAAAATGTAAGCCATAGTTATTGGTTGTAGGAATGTGCAGTCAGAGGTCACAGTGTAAGACAAGGGGATATGGACTAAGCTCTTGTTTCTAGACCAGCGAAGACACCTGCTCAGTAGAAACTCCATCAGCCTCCCTGGGGGAAAGAAGTGCTCTGTGATCCTTGCAAGCAGGCCCCAGAAGGAGCCTGTGAAAGGGAAGAAGGAAAAAACAGGGCTGTTCTAATAGAAATGTGTGAGACAGAATCAGAAGAAATGTGGAAAAAGAACCTTAGCAAGTTGTATTTATGAAAGAAAACTGTGGTCTCACAGTATGTACAATTTTTAAAGGCCAAGCTAATTGTTTCTGGCAGCCAAAGGAGTTCCACACCTCACCAGGAGTTCTTTGGTACATAAGTATGCTCCAAATAGCCTCAAAAACTGACTGTGTATGTTTTTTCCAAGTGAAAACAGAACTCCTCAACAAATATGCTTCCTTAAATTAGGTATTAGCCAGTAGTATTTACTTTGTAAATGCCAATGGTGGATTCCTAATACAGGCTTAAGGATCCTGTGACATCACTCAGAAATTGCAAGTGTTACAAGAAGCAGCACAACTATGTGGTATTTTCAAAGTGCCTGTGGTTTCCTAACCACAGTATTGACACCAAGTGCCAAAGGCCCCTGTGATGAAGCAGAGCATGTACCCACTTCATCGGATGTGCTCAGCACGGCACTCCTGCCGAACAGCGCTGCTCTTCCACGCAGCACCGTGCTTTATATGGAAAGCTCACTGATTTGACAGCTATTGTAAACACTCTACAGTCACAGTAAAACACAGCCATTTTCAGCTAAGCAGAGAAAGAGCTTGTGTGTATTATGGTGGTGACTGTATTCTGTGTAAAGGTGAAGTTACTGATACCCGGTGGACTCATTCATTGCTAGATCTGTGCCCTTCATTTAAAGCCAGCAACACTCTTCAGGTTGGAACTTTCCAAATATAGCTTTGACAACCCACTTCTGAGAGCCCAGGGGAAGAGACATGACTACTTTGCTAATTGATGTTGATACACCAGGGAGGATCAGCACTGTCTGCCGCAGAGTCTTTCCTTAAAGTGGACTAGGTCAGCTGGATGGCACCAAGTCAAACAGTAATTCTCATAACCAGACCATCTTTCTCTAAATTATTACATATCCACAACAGTATTACTACAGTGGGAAAACAATGTACTCGATCTGGGAGGACCAGCACTGAAACAACATGTGCGAATTTAATTCCAGCTGCCTGTGTATGTGTCTTGCATAGTTCTGAACCCCTTGGAACTAGGTGATAATCTGTTTTGGCCTCTTGCATAAGCCAAGACATATATTTCCCTCTGGTAGGGGACTGAACATACTGTGCTCAAAACCTTGTATTTTTAATAAAAGTACAGCTAGTACTTGGCTAATTCATACATTTCAGAAAGGCATTCAGTTTTCTTCTGATGGCCTTGAGGAGATTCAGAATTTACCACTTGTTACATTACATCCTCAACTGCATAAACCCAGTCTTAAGTTCTCCATGGGGACACTGTCTCATTCAGTACACAGGACAAAATCACTTAGCTAGCAGCCATTCAATATTTTATTTTTGCCCTTTTCATTTGATGCATAGCCCTAAAAGCCTTGTTTACTGCACATTATTCCAGCTCTATTCTGAAGGCAGAATGATTAATTTCTTTACAGGCTTTTCTATAGTGCTCATCAGATGTTTCTAACTTGTTATGTGCAATTTCCTAGCTTTTGGAAAAACATACAAAGGAGTGCCATTATGTGGCATCATATAACTACTGCCATGATTCATATCAGCAGGGATAGACCAGACCTTTGCTATCTTAGCTAACAGGTGTAAACCACAGGCTGCCAGCATGGCCAAGATAAAGGAGATGAGGCACATGCTTAAGCAAGTGATTTTCACTGATATTTGCTGGCAGCAGGATGGGAAGAATCAGAATCTTAAGGAGATTGAAGGATATGGAAAGAAAGTACAGGTTCCTGCTCCTTTGCCACTCTCATAAGATTGATCTCTTTAATTTGCCCTTTCCAACAAGCCCACCTCTCAACCCATGTGTCTTATCTATCCAGTCTTATTCAGTTTACCTATCTTACCCTATTTTCCATCTATCCTTATTTCTCTCACTTTGTTATTGAGTTTATCTTTCTTCCTCCCCACTTGCTTACAGACTGAGTCTCTGCCCCCAAATTTCCCATCTCATTGTCTTTTTCAACTCTCCTAAATTTTACTTCCATCCCTTGACTAAGACATTATCAAAGAATACTCTGAATTGGAAGGGACTCACAAGGATCATCAAAGTCTGTCTCCTGGCCCAAAACTGCACAAGATAGCCCCAAGAATCACACCATGTGCCTGTGAGCATTGTCCAAACACTTCCAGTACTCTGGTAGGCTTGGTGCTGTGACCACTTCCACAGGGAGCCTGTTCCAGTGCTCAACCATCCTCTGGGTGAAAAACCTTCTCCTAATATCCAACTTAAGCCTCCCCTGACACAGCTTCAGGACATTCCCTCACATCCTAACACTGGTCACCAGAGATAAAAGAGGTAAGTTCCTACCTCTCTGCATCCCCTCATGAGGAAGCTATAGACAGCTATGAGGTCTCCCCTCAGTCTCCTCTTCTCTAAGCTGAACAAGCCAAGTGACCTCAGCTGCTCCTGGTAGGGCTTCTCCTCTAGATTCTTCAACATCTTCATGGCCCTCCTTTGGACCTTCCTATACTGTGGTGCCCAAAACTGCACACAATATTCAAGGTGAGGCTGCCCCAGTGCAGAGCAGAGTGGGACAATCCCTTCCCTCGACTGGCTGGCGATGCTTTGCCTGATGCCCCCCAGGACATGGTTGGCCCTCCTGGCTGCCAGGCCACTGCTGACTCATGTTCAACTTGCCCTCAGCCAGGATCCCCAGGTCCCTTTCTATGAAGTGGGCTTTCCAGCCTCTCATCCCCCATCCTGTATGTACACCCAGGGTTGCCCCAGGGCTTGTGCCTTCACAAATCCACCCTGGCTGTGCCAATGACAGCATTGTCTTTCAGGTGTTTTTCAGTAACTTCCAGAATAATCTCTATAATTTTACCAGTCACTGAAGTGAGACTGACAGGCCTGTAGTTACCAGAGTCATCTCTCTTGTCCTTGTTGAAAATTACTTGAGTTTGAGGGGAAGGAGCATTCAAAGACACTTTAGAGCTTTCAGAAATACATATCTACTAAGCACATACAAGATGTGTTTTTTAAAGGTTACGACTTGGATAACCTGGAAAGGATTTTCTTAGGGATGGTAAAAAGTGCATTAATATGTTACCCATTCCTTGCAAAACCTGGAGACACTAAGGCACAGTAAAGAAGATGTCACAGAAGCCTTTAAGGTCTCTTCTGTAGCCTCATTTTCAGTAACAGTTATGACATTTTCTGAAGTCAACTGGGCCAGAGCAGATTTGCATCTCAGAAATTTTTATACCAAATTACTATAGTTTCAGAAAATTTCAAGCAACTGAAATAGGAAGACACAGAATGTGGTTGTGTCCACAAAATAAGACAAAAATTAAAGCTGTTAGTACCATGTTGGAATCTAACTTGATGGCTGTTCTGGTATCGGTGACATCTGAAATCATGACACTGAGCAAAGAATATAATTCCATCTAGCTAGGTTTTTAATGACTGAATTTGTAAAGGCTATATTAGAACATCAAAGTAATATTATTACCCCATATAAGCTTGAAATCTGTATAGCATATGTCTCCTGCCATATGCATCAGCTATTAATTTGCTATTTTTGTACTAAACATTCATTATTACCAAATATCTCATCCCTTGCCTGTACGTTCTACTATTTTCTCTCAATTAGAACTTCACATTTGTCCTCTTGTGCACTAATACCCCTTCACTTTTGGAGATACCAGCAAACCCCATCAGGACCAAATTTATGCCAGGAGATACAAATCTGCTAACAAAGACACTAAGCAGTCACATGGATATAGAATTCCTGTAAAAAATAAATTAGTCAAGACAGACTTCTAAAACCCCAGAGAGACCTAGTAAGGGCTACAGTTAAAAAGACAAATAATTGATGAAATTTGATTTACTGTTCTGATTTCACAAGAGAAGTGGGTTTTGGCCTTCCACAAAGCTCCCTGTATTAAAAATACTGTTATTAAGCTCTAGGCCCTGTGTCTGGAAAACAGTTTGTTTTGGGCTTGGTGTCACAGAAAAAAAAAACTTGCTGGGTAGGAGTGTTACCAAAAAACACCCACAAATGTGGAGTCACTGCCCCTACACAAGGCTGAACTAAGCTGCAGCTTAAGGGAGCAACAGATTAATTTTGTTGTAAACTCATAGTTTATCTTGATTTGTGTAGACACAAGACACCAGCCCAAGGTTTCCAAACCCCACATATATATCTATATATCTATATCTATATCTATATCTATCTATCTATATATCTCAATATATATCTCCACATTCAAGAGTTATTTAGTTCAGATCTTTCGAACATCAGTGTACTGCTAATTTAAAATGCATAACAGTTAGTAGAAAAAGCAGCGAAGACAAAGCAGTGAATTGACTTCCAAAACTATCAGCCTTTGTCAATTAAAATATTTACTTTTGACACAAGTGCTAATTGGTTAAAAACATTCAATCCAGTCTTAAAATAGAGGTTCAAGCTACCCAATTTATGCTTGGAACAGTCACTTGCTCTCAGGATTAGGAAGACAATGGCATCCAGAGCAAGCATGTGCCCTCTCCCCTCTTATTACAGTTAATCAGGAACATAAATACTATAATGGAGCTGAGCCCCTGCAAACTCACCAGGCTGTTCATAATTTCCACTCCAGCTGGATTCACTGTGAGCGCTTCATCATACAATTGCTTAGCCTCCTCCAAATTGCCTTTCATCTCTGCAAACCTCCCACGCATGTACAATACAGCATGAGACGTGGGGAAAAGACTAGCTGCCTCCTGGATGCAAAAGCCTGCTTCTTTGAGATGCTGCTGTTCCATGAAGAGTTCAGCTAAAAAAACCAAAACAGCAAACCGTAAAAATAAAGTAAAAAACACCCTACCAATAAAGGAAATCTAACAAGAGACCTTTTCTTTGTATTAATTATAAATAATTTCCCTTAAGCATATTAAAACATGAGGCCATGATCTGGCACAATGTTTACTACTATGGTTAGTGCTTACTATTATGACAGGATTCACTGAATGGATCTTTTCCTAATGCAAAGGGCTCTATACAGATGTTCATGGACATCTTTAGGTGGTGTCCTGACAGGACAACCTTAAGGATTCGTCCATTGAGAATGTAAACAGTACTGAACTAAGCCCTAAGGAAGCAAGGCTGGTAGCTACTTGGCGTCATCATATGTATTTCCAAATAATCTGGGGAGGGGGGAAAAGAACAGAATAAGATATCACTGTCAACTGAGAACTTCAAACACGTCAGAGTAATACGATACATCCGAGCTGGACGTTAGACAACTTACCTTAAAAAGAGTATTTCCACATTTAAAAATATGGTAAAAGTGTTTCTCTCTGCTTGTTTGTCAAGTTCACGAGATAGTTGTCTCTTAACTTTTCAGAGACTGTTAAAATCAAAAGACTTTTATAATATAGATCTATTTATATTGTGTATTCACCCATTTACTTCCCCATACTTTACAGAAAAATGAAATACAGCTCTTGGAAGAGACCACTCATTTACTTTCTTGATCTATCAGCAACTGTCTTAGTGGTTTTTTTAGGAAAAAGATGTAACAGGCATACACTCATGTGCTTGAATGTCAACTTGTTAATGAAATAATTTCTCATGATCAACATAAATTTCATAACATATCTCATGGTTGAACTTTAACATTTCTCAGGATTTGGTCTAGATGATTGTCTGACTAGATGATTGTTGTGTTGGACTGAATGGATGATGGTTGTAGGTCTCTTTCCACTGAAATAGTCTAATTCTAGATTTATTAGATATTAAATTCTTTCAAAAGGTCAGAAGTGATACTCAGTTTTCACTGCTACACATAACTGAAAAGGGAAACTGTGGTTTTAGACAGATATATATATATATATGCACACACAAACCTGTATGCATGTACGTATATAAAATAATTCTCTTTCTTCATGCAGCAGGCATTGCTCTTTGGTCCATAACCTGTTTGTGTTCTATGTGTTCTCACTGCAAAAAATCAGTGGTCTCTTTTTTTTTTTTTAACTGATGTGGTAATGCAGTAAGTATTGACAGTTCAAGAGTCCAATTCAAAATTACTAATTCAGGCTCCAGATTTAAAAAACACTATTCTGAAATTAGACACAACCTTAAATGCCCTGACTTTTAAAGGCAGTGAATATTCTCATGAAGTCTCTGTGAGGAGGGAAATTAGTGTGACAATTTCTCTTAAACAGATTTAAGAAACTCTGCCAGTTTCAAAACACTGGGAGACCCAGAAGACTGTGGGGACTTGGCATGATGACATCAAGCTTACTGGCAAGAGGTGATCAGGAAAGCATCTCAAAGGCAGTCCTGCCTGACCATGTAAAGGCTCCTCCTTGACTATCTGACATGAGACTGGGACCACAGATAGCATTTCTATTGGCACACTAAAAACAATTCTGTACTGAAGTGACCGCATGGCTGAACACCCTTCCACTTCTGAGGTGGTCCTCCTAGAAGAAGGGTGAGACATTGCTCCAATATTCCTTGGCCATCCCTAGCTTGTGCTACAGATAAATGTCATTCTCCAAGGCTGTCAACATGAGCATAATATTAGTTCCTTCATAAGAGTTATACTCTTTCAGAATGACTCATATACATTTCTCTCTGGTTAATCATAAAATCTCTGCATGCATCCCTTCCCTTGGCTCCAAGAGGCTGCAGCTATCTATAATAACAGAAAGCAACGCCATGTACCTTGTCAAGCTGAGTATTTGCACAGCCTTATGCAAAACTTTGTGGGAGGACAGTATTTTCCTTGCACTTCCAAGGAACAGAGCATTTTCCTGCCAAGTGCTGCATAGCAGCTGATGCTGTGCATGTGGCATTAATGAGGATGGTGATGTGCAAAGAGGCAATCACTGCCTGAAGATGAACACTTCATTTGCAAAGTTAGCACAAACTTAACAGCACAAAAGAAGGGGTGAAACCCTGGCACTGTTTGAAGTCAGCAGAAGTTCTGGATACTGCCATATTAAAAACTCTATTAGTAACTAACAGCATCATGTGACTTGTTTCATCTCAGAAAAGAATTGGGAGCAAAGGGGTTTAGATGTGAAATCACGCACAGCCAGTGTTTCAATGCATACAAAATGGAGAGTATTTATTCTTTCAACGGTGCCTGTAAATCTTCCTCAGTAATAACAATTATTTAGAGGAAGTGCAGCAACACAGAATCTAAATAAGATCTACAAATTGTATTTTATGGTATGGTAATGTAGCATATTAAAGTTCAGTCCACTTCTTTGCAGGCTCAATAGTCAATAAAAATGATTTAATGGTGTGGGAGGTCTAATTTGCATAAAAAAGAATGAGAGGGGTGCCTTGTAGTTATGAAAGGAAAGGAGTGCTAAAATTTTTAGCTACCGAGCTAAAAATAGACATTAAAGGACGTCGTTTAAGCCTTCATTAAAATGTGTTTTCTGCAAACTCATTTTTCACTTCTATTACACACTCCTTTTATTTACAGATTAACAAGATAAAGCTTATGTAACATGGAACAAAAACATAGCTAGAAGCAGAAATCAAACCCAAAAAAGAGTACTTATTACATTTTTCATGGTAATACCCTCAGCGGTACTGAAAGTACTGAAACACCTGTTTTTGTGCTACCTGGGTTAGCAGCTTCCTGACCACTGGATTAATCAGCCTATCTCCTTATATAACCTAATTATGCAGTAAATAAACACCTAACAAAATTAGCAGCCCTTGTGAGGAAGTTCTATGATAGAGACATGGCGCCCAGCTCTACTCCAAAGCAGAAGATATCTTCTTAGGCTGACACAGCTACCAAAGATCTATAATTCTTATCCTGTGAAAGGGTCAATGCTTCAGGGAAACCATTTATGAATCTCTAATTGCTGGACTACATTGTTCTTGGTACTGACATTCTTCAAAGCTTTGAATCTAAAGCCAAGCTTCCTTGCCTCTCTCACTTAACACCATCTTCATAAAAATTAAAACAAATCTACATTCTGTTTTTAACTAAGTACCAACAAAAGCTCTCTGAATACTACTGAGCAGAGAGATGATGACCCTGGAAGTACCACTCCTCTATTAGCCTCTCTGGAGTAATGCTAGAAACTCTGAGTGTGAATGACATTAGGAAATATTTCAGCACTTCCACCTACAGGTATGGACTGAGACAATGCACTGCATGGTTGGGCAAAGACAGTTTGAATCGTGTACTTACTCCTTTCATTCAGCAATTGAAGCCTGCGCCTGCACTGAGACCACGAGCAACTATCCACCTAACTTCAAAATCCAGCCTAGATTCATTCATTTCTCAAATCCACTTTTATGCTTCCCATCTGTGCTCTCTTTTAGTACTGTCCAGCCTACTTTGCTGTTCTTCCAAACAACTGTTGTCTCCTCTCATGGCTACGGCCTCCTTTGTCTTGACTTGCAACTAGACTGCCACACCAGTTTTAATGCTGGTCCAGTCCCTGAGAGTGGCACATATCTCCACTCAGATTATTGTTAGCTCCTAACATGAGCTCCTAGTTCTTCCAGCCATTTCTGCTAGAAGCTCATCTATAGTGAAGATCCTCAATCAAGTGAAAATTGCCAGAAGTGTATCATCTACTTGCTCTGCAAAGAGCAGTAACAAACACACAGACCAAGAGCAATCTCCAGAACACTGACAAAGCTGGGTCTCCTACAGTCAGTCACCTTATTTTGTCTCCAAGATAAATTATTTGCAGAGTTCTGTTAGGTAGTCCATCAGAGGCATAACAACAGTGTAATTTAGTCATGTCTGCATCACAGTGCTAGTCTGAGAAACAGAGCTGCTTAACATCACACCTTGAACACTGACTTTATTTCCCATTTCCTAAGTGTTTCAAAGCAGTGTCAAGAGTGACAGTGCTTGTCACTGCAGCAACAACTGTAATTCTAGCCTAAAAAAAATCAAACAGATTTGAAATGTTTTTCTGCACTGTGAACAACCCGAGAGTTAAAATTTCATTCCTTGTGAATCACATTTGGTGTTATCCAAGATGCTGCACTTAACTCCCACAAAGAAGACGGCTTCACATCACTTGGTTGTGTGTGCCTGCCAGATTTACAGCACCCTACTCTCCCCAAAAATGTTACTGCATAGTGACATGGTCAGGGTAACACAGCCAAATACCCAGTAGGATGGTACAATGGGGAGTAGCCCTTCATACTTAAGAAAGTGAGAGCATCTGTGAGGATGTGTAGGAAGGTGAATTCTGTTCTACATCATCTGCCTTCAGGAGCTTTATTGCAGGAGCCCTTAGTCAGTTGGAAAGACCCACTCCTCAGAGAGAAGCTCTGCCTTCAGCAGTGACTACAGAAAATTACCATGACAAAGGGTTCCCCCACTGCCTTTCCCTTCTGGCAGGTGAGGTTTAGTCATTGTTCCATGCTATGACACCACCCTACATACAGTAGCGTGACAATTTGTAGCAGCTTAGACAGAAGATTCCTCAAACTGTATCCTGACTACAATAATTTCATTTGATGTAAATGTTTGATACAGAAATGAAGTACAAAACCTGTCACGTGTTCCCATCTACCTCAGCCACTTGCTCTTTTGAATGAGGCAATAGATTTACATCCTCAAGGGCTCTCTTTGCATGTAAACTGGTAACTGAAGTCTGGGGACTCACTTTAAAGTCCCAAGCTTTGGGTCTCACAGGGCCTGAAATGTCCAAGCTTCTTTACAAATGTAGCATGAGAGTGAAAGTTTTTGGAAGCAGCACAGAACTGCCACAAGCTACCTTCGGTACTAAATGGCACAGTCAAAACATGACTTGAAATATTACAAGGTAGTTG